CAACTCTGTCCGTCATTCCCTCAGTCACACTTATTTACGGATCCATTCATGCCTTTACTTACATTGCATTCACCCACTCTTTCCTTTACTCACACCTTTCCTTTTCACTCACATCCACGCTCTGTGTCAATCAGAACGCTCGCCAAAACAGATGGCACGCGCCATGTGCCACTTGAGGAGAAACTAATGAGACATGATTCTCAGAGTGTGAGCAGGGTGAAGGGAACCCACTCGAAGGAAGGGTTACTAGTGGATAGATACCCAAGAACTGCATCAGGGAAAGCCATGTCCTCCCAGGAATGGAAGGGTCCAGGGGAGGGAGCCGTTATCGCAAAGAGGAGAGCTATAACTAGGGGAGAGGGCTGCCCACAGGAGCTTATGGCCGTGGCCATGGGAGCATAAACACACCCAAAGCGCCTCGTGGCACCTCCTGCAGTCAGGGGTCTCTTGGGTGCAGCTGGCCACGGCCCTGCGCACCTAGCTCAGCACCCAGCTTGGACACATGGCCACTCCACGCAGATATGAGCATGGACACACTCCCGCCTGGCCCCCACATTCATGGGTGGGCACAGGGCACCACGCCCTTTCCCAGGGACTGGCTCCCACATCCATTACAGTGTCTCTCACCTACCGTATGCCAGGGGTGCTCTGGGCCCTCCCCACCCACGAACTAATCTCACAGAGACCAGGCTGAGTGAGCGCATGCTGTTCACACCTTTCATGCAGGAGGCCCCAGGCCAGAGAGGCCAGGGACGCCCCAGGCACAGGGAGCCCGTGTGAGGGAGCTGCAGCAGTTCAACCCCATCACCTACCCCCCAGCCAGGGCTCCTTCCACCAGAGCACACTGGCTGCTGCTGACTCAGAACCCACCCTTAGCGTGTGTGCACACAGTGCCCATGTTCGGACGTGTAAACCTGTGCCGTGTCTACACATCTGTGCCCATGCTCCTCACACACATGTGTACCCACAGTAACGGGCCTATACGCAGAGGAGAGGGGAGCACTGACTCCTCTGGGCTCCCATCGCCCTTGGTGGTTTCTCTCGGTGTCGTCACCATTTCCCTCCCCGGACTGGCCGTGTCTTGAAAACAGGATACCCGGGTACTCAGTGCAGGGCCATAAACACTTTACACCCTATCTACACCATTGAAATATCCCACACAATACATGTTATACATCACTGAAATATCCCACACAATATTGGTTCTGGACAATGGAAGAGGTAAAACAATAGTCTAATGACTCTGAGCTTCCCTGTTCTTATCACATACACCGTAAACATCTGTCCTTACAGACGGCTGGAGTAGCCTATGGACGATTTAGTTATGGCAACAGTTAGGAAACAACACTTTGTGAGGTCTGAGAGCCTACAGAATTTAGTGTATTCTTTGAATCCACAACCAATATATGCTGCTCATTGACCCACAAACAGAATACATAGGTCTAGGAACCAAAGGTCATACTTCTCATCACTTCATCAGTGAAACATTTTGTTATTGAATGTATTGGGGTGACACTGGCTAACAAAATTATACAGGGTTCAGGTGCACAATTCCACAGCGCATCATTTGTACACTGTGGTGTGTTCACCACTCCAAGTCAAGTCTATTTCCATCACCATTTCTCTACCCTATACCCTCCTCCATCTCCCTCCCCATTCACCACACAGTTGTCTGTGCCAATGAGTTTTTCCTGTTGTTCGGTTTTGTTTTGTTTCTGTTTTTGTTTTGTTTTTTCATTTTTGCTCAATCCCCCTACCCCCTAAAATCCAAAAGCCCCACCCCCAGCTGTCAGACTGCTCTATATCTATGAGTCTGTCTCTAGTTTGCTTGTTAGTTCATTTTGTTCATTAAATTCAACATATGAGTGAAATCATATGGTACTTGTCTTTCCCTGACTGGCTGATTTCACTATTCATAATACTTCCAGATGCATTCATGCTGTGGCAAAGAGTGTTATTTCCTTCTTATAGCCAAGTATTATTTCCTTACTTACAGCCAAGTAGTTATTCATTGTGTAATTGCACCACAGTTTTTTAAAATATATATCTTTATTGATTTCAGAGAGGAAGGGAGAGGGAGAGATAGAAACATCAATGATGAGAGAAAATCATTGATTGGCTGCCTCCTGCATGCCCCCTGCTGGGAATCAAGCCCGCAACCTGGGCATATGTTCTTGACCAGAATCGAACCTGGGACCCTTCAGTCTACAGGCTGTTGCTCTGTTCCAGAGGCAAACCCACTAGGGCTACCACAGCTTTATATATATATATATATTTCCAATTTTTTAAAGATACATTTCAAATGTTCTAGCTCAATCCTTATTATTTTTTAAAAAAAATTCAATATATATTTTATTGATTTTTGTACAGAGAGGAAGGGAGAGAGATAGAGAGCTAGAAACATCGATGAGAGAGAGTCATTGATCAGCTGCCTCTTGCACAGCCCCTACTGGGGATATGCCCGCAACCAAGGTACATGCCCTTGACCGGAATCGAACCTGGGACCCTTCAGTCCCCAAGCCAATGCTCTATCCATTGAGCCAAACCGGTTTGGGCAACCACAGCTTTTTTTATCTACTCATCTACTGATGGGCACTTGGGCTGCTTCCAAATCTTGGCTATTGTAAATAATGCTGCAGTGAACACTGGGTGCATGTGTTCTTTTGAATTAGTGTTTTGGGTTTCTTTGGATAAATTCCCAGAAGTGGAATTGCTGGGTCATAAGGAAGTTCCATTTTTTAATTTTTTGAGGTAACTCCACACTGCTTTCCACAGTGGCTACACCGATCTGAATGCCCACCAATAGTGCATGAGGGTTTCCTTTTTTCCATATCCTCACCAAAAGTTGTTTTGAGGATTTATTGATGGTAGCCATTCTGACAGTGTGAGGTGGTATGTCATTGTGGTTTTAATTTGCATTTATCTGATGATTAGTTACATTGAGCATCTTTTTATATGTCTATTGGCCATTGTATGTCCTCTTTAGAAAAATGTCTACTCAGATCTTTTAATTGGATTTTTTTAATTGGATCCCTTGTCTTTTGTTTTTTGTTTTTGTTTTTTTGGTGTTGAGTTTGATACATTCTTTATAAATTTTGGATTTAACACTTTATCAGATGTATTGGCAAATATGTTTTGTCATTCAGTGGGTGGTCTTTTCATTTTATTGATGGTTTCCTTTGCTGTGCAAAATCTTTTTAGTTTGGTGTAGTCTCATTTATTTTTTTTTCTTTTGTTTCCCTTGCCCAAGGAGATACATCTTTTAAAATATTGCTACGAGAAATGTCTAAGATTATACTGCTTATGTTTTCTTCTAGGAATTTTATGGTTTCAAGTCTAACATTTAACTTTTTAACCCAGCCATTGCTGGAATATCATTGTCCATAAGGCTGTCCCAGTGATTAGGGGCCTGGTAATCGGACATTTAGATGGTGAGGGCTTCCTGGAGAGAAAAGTCCAAAGAAATACTCATTAAAACAGGGCAAAGGTAGATCTCTGCCCAAGGGCTTTGTGATTTAGTGGGAACTGTGCTGGGAGGATACCTTTAACTACACAAGAATTCGGCACCTGGCTCATAACGCTTTCTACCCAAACTCCTGCCACCAACCCAGGTGATTTCACTATCCACACAGATAACCCAACCAACACCCTGGCCTCCCAAGCCATGGCCCCAATCCCCAGGAACCAACATCTTTTCTCCCCTTTAACCACCGGCTCCTTAAATGTTAGCATTACCCAGAGCTTTTCTTTTTATTGATTTTTTTAAGAGGGAAACATTGATTTGTTCCTCTTATGTATGCATTCATTTGGTTGATGCTTTTTAAAAAATATTTTTATTATTGATTTCAGAAAGGGAAGAGGGAGACGGAGAAACATCAATGATGACAGAATCATTGATCAGCTGCCTCCGACACACCCACACTGGGGATCCAGCCCACAACCTAGGCATGTGCCCTGAGAATTGAACCATGACCTCCTGGTTGATAGGTTGATGCTCAACCACTGAGCAATGCCGGCTGGTGATTGGTTGATTCTTATATGTGCCTTGACTGAGGATTAAACCCATACCCTTGGCATACTGGGATAATGCTTTAACCAATTGAATTCCTGGTCAGGGCTGCTCTGTCTTCAACTACAGTCATCTCATTGTCTGGCTCGTCTTCTCCCAGGCCTTACCCTCCCATCTCCTCAGGGTCTGGGCATGAATGAGTCAGTCTTCAATATCTCCCTCTATTGGTTCCTACCTCTTCGAGCCTCTCTCTTCTTTCCCAAGAAACTCATTTGTTCTTGTATCTTCCTTTAGCTGCCTACCTCTTCCTTTAGCTGTCTCCTTCCTGTCTCATTCAAATTTCTCAAGGAGAGTCTATACTTGATATCCAGTCGTCTCTATCTCTGCTTTCTTACCCATCTCAGGGCTCTTCTTCAAAGCGTGTTTTCTACAATCCCTAGGACTCTGCACCCCACCACAATCCCACCTGCTCTCTAAGCTAGAGATGAGGCCCAACCCATCCCAGAGTGGCAAACTAATCTCGCTCCCTTGAATCTAACAATACCACCTCAAACTAAGCATAGATGGAGGCGGAAATTTTTCCAATTCATTTTTCAATGTAGTACCAAAATGTGACAACCCATCCCCACACACACACACACACACACACACAAAAGCAATCAATTCAGAAATGGCAAATAGATTTAATATAGTGTGTCAAATTCAATTGATTGATAGTGGCTGCCTAGAGTGCTGTGTTGAGTACAATTCTGAGGACGCACCCTGGCAGGAAGAGAAAGGTTGCTGGGATTAGCAATATCTGAAATCACAAGTAAAAGAAAATTAGAAAGTCAACTGATAGCCACCAAACAGGAAGGAATACAATCAAACGCAGCGTTTTCCCACACTCTCCGTATGGTCCTCCGACCATGGCGTTCTTATAACCACCCAGCTCACCCCATCCCCAAGAACCCTGGCTGCCCTCTCCGAATCTAAGCATATACCTGAAATCTCACTTGTAGGAAAAACCGCTGGCACCAGCTCCACTGAGGCCAGAGAAGAGCCCAAATGTGAGAGTGGTGGGCAGGCTGGCACTGGCACCGAAGCTGCCACTGGCACTGGCGCTGGCACCACCACTGGCACCACCGCTTGCACCACCGCTGGCACCACCACTCTCTTGGGCTTTGGCTTTAGCTTCAGCTCCCGCCTGGATCCGGGCTTTGGCCCAGGGTCCAATATCAGCTTCATCCCAGTTGCAGGGCCCAGCAGCATTCTCAGAGCCAAGGCCAATGCCCATTTGAGCTCTAATCTCAGCTCTCGCCTTGGCTTCGGCTGCAGCCTCAGCTGCAGCCTTAATATCTGCTTCCATTGCCTCTCGGTACTGAGCTGCCCATTCCTTGGGATCCTTCTTTTGTACCTGAAACAGAAACAACAACCCTCAAAGGGATCGGAATCTGAGAATGGAGTACCTACCGGATTCTAGACAACATGCTACACACTGTAACCAGTAGCAATACAATAAATACTTCTAGTAATGATGAACCTAGTATTCCATCTCTGCCCTGACACTAGCTGTGACCTCGGTGATCCCGAGTTTTCTCATCTGCAGGAGGACAACCCCACGTTAGTTGTAAGGAATAAGTGATTCAGCTGAAGTGGTTAGTGCACAAAGAGAGGCTTCAGAATACTCCTATATAAGCTACAGGCTGCTCTGCCCACTGCCTACCCATGCTCTGGATATGCCAAGCTCAGTTAGTTCTCCAGTTACCTTGCAGGCAAACTTGAGCACTTTCATCTTGCTGGTCTCATGGTAGGAGCGTAAGCCCCAGAAGAACTCATACTCAGGGGGATTGCTGTTAGGGACGCGGGCGTAGTCCAGGTACCTTGAAAAGAGAGGTTCAAAGCCTTTTCCATCTACGACCACCCATGGCCCACCCATGCATGGACTGAGAAGGCTCTAGGTAGCAACCTTCCACACTAAGTACCAGCAGCTTTTCTTCCAATACTGAGCCCTGTTCCATCCCTCCTGACCCAGCCATGTGAAGTCACAGTGGGGACACATGTCGGGTGCTTGTGCATAGGAAGGCCACATGTTTAGTGCCCCTTGTCACAGTGACCCCAGTTCCTGTTGGGTGTGTAGTAAACAGAGAGCCATTTCTTCAGGCACCCTGCTCTGAGCACACCCCTCCTCAGCGTCTCGTCCGTGGCCTGGCTGAGCCTTGGGACAGTCCACCACAGAGAAGGGCTGTAAAGGGAAAACAGTCCACCAAGAGCAGCATACTCCGTACGCACTCCGGACCTTGTGTGTGCACATGCGTGCTAATGCAACCTTCTGAGTGTGCATTTGTTTCCCTCAGACTTCTGTCTCTGAGCCCCAGGTTTAGCAACTGATAATGGAGCTGGAATGACAGCACCTACTCTGCAGGGTAGTTATGAAAATGAAATGAGATGGTACATGTCAAGTCCCCAGCGCAGTAGCTAGCTGCCTACAGCTCCTATTTTATGATTGAAATTATACTATTTTAAAATTGAAATTAATTGCTCCGAAGCCCTGGTTGGCATGGTGAAGAGAACCAACGCATTGGGACCTGAATTTTAAAAATCTTCAATTTGCTACCTGTGAAACCATAAGCAAATGATTTCAACACTCTGAGCCTCAGTTTCCTCCTGTATGCAATGCGGATGATGACAAGCCCTCCCTTGTAGGACCGCTCTGGGGCATGTGTGAGAGTGCATGTAATGGGTCAAGAAATATGTGCTCTTGTTGACTTTATCGCTTTAAAAACAAGCTCCCGCCAGCACAAACACACACATACACACAAGCACACAAGCACACATGCACCCATCGTAGCTCTATCACGCAGTTCTCAAATGGGCACAATGTATGGCACATGCCAATAGCAGATGGACACTTACTTCTGCTTCACAAACTCATCAGTAATGAGCTTCTTCACGTCCCCAAAAAGCGAGTGATGTATGCTGACAGCAGAGAAATAAAATGAATGAGTAAAATGGGGTCATAGCACTTCCCAGATGTGTGCAGATGCGTTTCCAATGTGGAAGACAGATTTCCGGCACAAGAAGGAAGCACCATAGAAATTCAAGAGGCAGTAAGCTCAAGGGAACAGAGTTCGGGACCGTTTCCCCATCCACCCAGGTCAGAGTCATGGGCCATCTACCCAGCCCGACACCCCCGCCCGCTCCACCAGACCACCAGGCTGATGCGATCCCGGGACCATCCTCTCTTGCCAAAGGACAACACGGACAGCAAGTGCCGAGAGAGCCCAATCATACCCCGGGCGCAGCCCCAACTTGCGCAGCACCTCCCAGATGACAGCTGCAAGGAGAGGCAAGAGGAGAGGGACGGAAGATGAACATGTGGAATTCTGACCACGGCCCCCCATTCAGCTGCAGGCCCAGCCACTCACCCTCGCTGGACCGATTTCCATTCATGAAGATGATGCTAAGAAGCACCATGAGGAGGCCCAGCTTGGGGGAGTCCTTGGTTCTAGGGGAAGAATAAGACAGAGAGTTTTATGTCCCGCAGCCATCTGTAGAAAACACAGCAGCCAGCTCACTAGGCTAGCCTCTCTCAGTTTTCTCAGGTATGGGAGAGTTCTGCCCAGTCTATGACCCTGGGCAAGACACTTAGACCCCTGAGCCTCAGTCTCCTACTCAGTGAAACGGGAAATCACATCCTCCCCTCCCCGGGCTGCTGAGAGGACAGGCGCTCAGTCAGTGTGAGGCCCTTCTTGCTCTCACAGGGCCCTCAGCCACCAGAGAATTCACAGTCACCGATGTGTCTTCCCTTCGAACATCGTGATCCACCCACACCAGGAAGGCCTCCCTGGAGAACCACTCCACAAGACCAGTAGGAAGAGACAGGCAATGGCAGGGCTGCGTTCCTGGACAGACAGACAACCTGACAGTAGGCATGCCCGCCCCAGGCTTCATAACCAGGCACAACTTTTGTGGGCAGGGACCCAGCTACATGTGGGAGCTGGAACGGGTTTCAGGCCTGTCTTTCCTGACTCTCTAAGGGCGTGCGGGACAGAAGACAGGGATGGGGTAGTACCATGGACAAAAGCAGAAGCCTCCCTCCCAGACAGCCCTTTCCCAGCTTACGTTCCCAGTATGCCAGCATCAGTGGGTTCCAAGGTGCTGAGAAGAATGTACAAGTGGTCATTCTTGTCAATTTCCTTCAGCTGGATCCCAAACACCTGTGGATAGGGAGGAAAACTTGTGAGATCATCAAATTCAGCTTCTTGGTCATCCCTCAGCTCCCCATGTACCTAGGGTGCGTGTGTGTGCGTGTGTGTGTGTGTGTGTGTGTGTGTGTGTGTGTGTGTGTGTAAAACCGGTGAGTTAATGCATGTAAGCACTTAGCTCTGAGGCAATAAATGTGCTACTGTCATCTACATCATCCTTGTGATTCGTAGGGATCTGGGGAGACTGTGAAGGTGAATGAAAAGAAAGAGGTGAGCATCTGGAATACATTCCAGGACATGCCCAATAGCAGATAGAAGTCAGGACTAAGTTGGGTGGTTTGAGTCCTAGCTGTGCTTTTACCACTGACTTGGTGTGTGACCTCTGGCAAGTCTATAGCACCTTCCTAGGCTACTGTCTGCCCAGTGATGGGACTGAGCTTTGGTGAATCTCTGTGGTCCCTCCCCGAAGGGACGTGTACACCTTTGTTCAATTCAAGGCTTCCCCGCTGTGTCCATCCCCCAGGGCTGCCCCTTCACCTTCTCCAGGGAATAGCCTGCTCGTTCAATGATCTCAGGGTACACATCAGTGTATTCTTTGATGATGTCCTTCAGCATGTCTGCAAGGGGAGAGTGTTCGAGCACCTGAGCTGACGTGAAGCCAGGCGGCCCTCAGACCCACACTAGAGACCCTTTGCCTACTCTGCTGCCGGTGACATAAGCAGGTTTTGAGCTAATGCACAGAGATGCTAGCGCTGCCAAATTTGGACGCTGGGAGGACAGAAGTAGGAACGGAAGAGCAAGGGATGCCCCCAGCACAGCGGCAGTGGAGGGTAGAACTAGGGGGGTGGGGAGGGAGTTCGTAGGACCCTACCTGCGCGCTTGATAGGAATCTTCGTCTGGTCTTTAGCCAACAGGTACTTCACCAAGTCGTTTGCCTAGGAGAGGAGAAGAAGGAGAAAAGGTCTAAACACATTTGCAGAAGGCTTGAAAGGCTAGCAGAGAAGCAGGCAGGGGAGGCAGTGGCTAAGGCTGAGCGCAAAGGACAGAGCTCTTACCCTCCCCTGCAAAAGGGCCACATCCCGAGCTGGTGGTGCTTCGGGCTCTTCGGCTGCTGCTGCCAGGAGCTTGGCAGCTCTGCGGCGGGCCTTGCCCCTGCGGGCCTTGGGTGACCTCAGGGAGAGCAATGCTCTTCGGGCCCACGCAGCCAAGCGAGTCCTTGATGCCCGGCGGGCCCAAAAGGCTATGGGGCCTCTGGAAGCCCTGCGGGCCATGGAGGTCATGAGGGCCTTGGAGACCCTTCGGCCTCCTGTGGGTCCGGAAGCCTGACTCTGATCACTGCTGACCTCCTCCTCCCCGTTCAGATGCTTCACCTGCAGCAAACAGAGAGAAAGCACAACAGCGCCAGATGAAGCGGATGGTCCTTTCCCCGCATCCTCTCTCCCAGAAACCCCCTTCAATCCAAGCCCCGCAGTAACAGCCCGCCTCACTAGAGACTGGCCATGTTGAGTCTCGGGTTTGTCTCTCCCTGGCTTGCAAGGAAGAGTTTCATCACTGAATCAGATGAGGAACCACCCAAGGGTGGAATCTGAGGCTTCTCGTCTCGCTCCCTCTACCACTGGCTCTGCTTGTACCAACCTGGGCAACTTCGTTCTTTCCGTCCGGGACTCCGCTTCCTTCTCTATAAAACTGGATTACGTTTGGGATTGAAGAGATAAGCTGTGTAAATGTGCCGGTGCAAAGCCTAACACATGGGAGCGACTATGTCAATATAAACCGAGTTACTTTCAGATTACAGTTGCATGTTCCTGTCTCGTCCTCCCCCAAATCTGGGAGCACTCTCAAGACAGGCATTGCATCTATTCCCCCGCAGCCTCGGGGAGCACGGGAAACTTTCTACATGTCTGCAGAACAAATGGACCAACTCAGAGAAGAGCAATTGAAAGGCAAGGATCGTTCTTGCAAAAGGTCTTACCTTTCGGGTTTTCTTGGCCTTGACCTTGGGCCGAGTGTCCTGATTCTCCTGAGCCTGGGCCGCTGCACCCTCAGGCTCAGGTTCAGGTTCATCTGCCTCTGGAGACTTAGAGGCAGCAGCCTCAGTCTCCTGGGCTTTTGGATCGGTCTTGGTATCAGCCTCACCGCTGACCTCCTTGGTCTCAGGGGCAGGCGCCGCCTCAGCCTGAGGGTCAGCCTCCTGCACCTTGGTGTCAGCTGCTGGACTCTTCTCTTCAGTTGCCGAACTCTGGGTATCAGTCGGCTTAGCGGGAGATGACTCCTTAGGGGCAGCTGCCTCCGGAGTTTCTCGGGCCTCTGCTTCCTCTGCGGCCTTCGAGACCTCTGCAGGCTTCGAGACCTCTGCAGGCTTTGAGACCTCTGCAGGCTTCGAGACCTCGGCAGGCTTCGAGACCTCGGCAGGCTTTGAGGCCTCGGCAGGCTTTGAGGCCTCAGCAGGCTTCGAGACCTCGGCAGACTTTGAGACCTTCTTGGCCTCTGAGACCTTCTTGGCCTCTGAGACCTTCTTGGCCTCAGAGACCTTCTTGGCCTCCGAGACCTTCTTGGCTTCTGAGACCTCTGGCGCCTTGGAAGCCTTTGGTGTCTCAGAGACCTCCGGGTTCTGGGTCACTGTCAACTCGGTCTGCACCTTCAGGTCACTTTCTTTTTCTGAAGTTTCAGCCTGCAAGAGAGAGCAGGGAAGCTCACGGGACTTCTCCCCTCCCACAAGCAGGGAAATCGCTCCCAAGTCCCTTCATTTCTCTGACCTACACGAACCCCTACTTGCAGCATGCTCTGAGCACCTCAGCCCAACAAGAGTCCCCGTGCCCTTCCTCTGAGCAGGAACTGATGGTGGCAAAGGGATGCACCTGCCTTCTCTTCTTCCCTCCTTCCTCCATCCATCCTTGCTTCTTCCTTCCCATCCTTCCTCGTTCCCTCCACTGGGGTCGGGGACACCCAGGCAGGAAAGTGGGTGGAGAAGGACAAGGATAGAAGAGAAGGTACCAAGGGCTTTCGGGCAGCAACAGAGGCTGAAGAGGGAAAGCAGACAGGGGGAGGCCAGGACGAGGTCTCACCTGGGGGCGGGTTGCACCCGTACCAGTCTCGCTTGTGTCAGACATGTCTCAAAGTTGGCCTGGCAAGAGCTGAGCCTGAAAGAGAGAAGCCCTGGGTCAAGGGGGAGAATCCACTGAACGTCCTCTCTGCAGTTCTGCTGGGAGGCTAAGCCTCACCTTCCCTGGGGCCCCTCGCCCCAACCCCGCCCCCTCCCCCAAAGACTCTGTTTCCAGATTCTACAATCCCCAGCCGTCGAGGTCTCGATTCTCTGCAGCCGCACCCTCCCCTTTTCCAGGAAGACGTGCCAGCGCGGCAGCTCTGAGGACCCCGCCCCTTTTCCCAGTGCACCCACCCCCCCCCCAGCCGCAGGCCCCCAGTGCGCATGCGCGCCCGCTGCGAGCCCCAGCTCGGCCCCGCCCGCTTTCCCAGCACAAGCCCTCTTTGATGTCCATCGTGCGCATGCGCACTGGGCAGCTGGCCGGGATCGGAGCGGGGCCCCCCGCTCCGCACGCCCCTTTCTAACGATCCGTAGCACGCATGCGCAGGGGCTGAGGACTCAGTCCCGTACCCTTTCCCAACACGCCTCCCTCCAGGTCCGCTGGAGCGCCAGGTCCCGCCCCCTCCCCAGCGAGCCTCCTTTTCAAATTGTCACGCCGGCCGGTGGTCCTGGCTCCGCCCCCACGCCCGCCCAGCCCGCGTCCACGGTCCCGCCTCGCCCCGCCCTTTCTCACAACACGCCCCCCTCCGACAGGCATGGCACATCTCGGTTCGGCCCCTTCCCCGGAGCACCCCCTCCTCAAATCAGGACCGAGCCAGCGATTCCGTCCAAGGCGCACACAAACCGGGTCCAATCCCCTCCCTTCTCAGCCGGATGGATCCAGAGCGATCCGGTCCTCGGGGCACGTTTTCTCCAGATTCCCAGAGGGAGGGGCTGACCCCTACCGGTCCGCTCTCCGGAGCAGGTCCCCGCCGCTACTCACCTCGTCCTCCTGCAAGTGCGGAGTGCGTCCACTCCCTCCGAGCCCCTCCGAAACTCGGAGACGGCCCTCCCCCCTCCAGGCCGGAAGTGGTCCCGCCCCTTTCCGCCTCCCTAGGGGGCCTCGGTCTCAACCAGTCTGCCCTTCCCCCATTCCCTGCTCCTCATTCCTTAAACCCCCCTCCGTAGTCCCTCTGCCTCGCTTCCTGCTCCCTGTTCCCCAACGCGCCCCCTATGTGCCCTATGGAACTCTTTATCCCCCTTCCTAAATCCCCCTCCGAGTTACCCCTGCACCCCTTTCCCCACCCCGCAGTCCTTAACCCTTCTCTGCATCCCATATTTTCTTCTCTGAATTTGCACTCCCCCGAAGTATTCCCCTTCACAGTCCCTGTCCGCCATCCAGCGTGCCCCGTACTCCGTTTTTCTCTCCCTTCTCCGCTAGTCTCTGCTCCCCGGTCCGCACAGCCCGCTCTTCTCTAAGTCCTCCTGGTTGCCTACATGCCCCGCCAGGTCACTCCTCGCACAGCTGCAGGGATGCAGGCATAACTGCCCACCTGCCCGGCTACAGGTTCGAGGGAGCTGGAACCACTGGCCGGCTGGCCAGGAAAGCCCAATCTCAGCGTCCCTCACCTTGTCCTCGAGTGAGTCCGGGATGCGTCTGCCCTCTCTCAGTCCCTCTGGAAGTCTCAGCCTCCTGGACTTACAGCAACAGCCAGCCCAGCCCAGCCCAGCCCCTTTCCGCAGCCCCCTGCCACCCCCCTTCTCCTTCCCCGGGGGTGGGGCAATGAGGCCCCGCTCAGGGCTGTCTGACGCCAAAGCTTGTGTTTATGCCACTGTACCAGGCTCGGTCTGAAGCCCTTCCAACCAAAACCACTCCCTCAAAGCAATTCATTCATTGAATGTATTTATTTTTCTATCTTTCTTCTTTCTTCTTACAAAGGTAATGTGTTGGGAACATTCGAATAATGCAGAAATACTTAACATACCAATGAAAGGCTCCCCTTATCTCTCGCCCAGAAATAACCACTGCTCACATTCTTATATACATTCTTCCAGATTTTTTTCTGTTCGCACATTAAGCTGGGCTTGCTGTCCACAAAGGGTACACTATACCTACTGTCCTGTGACCTGTTTTTCCACTTATATATTCTAATCGATTTTCCACCTTGCACATTTTTCTTGACAGTGGCATAATTTTATCTTGTATAAATGTCCCATAATTTATTTAACCAGTCCAGGATATGTGGACATTTAGATATTGTTTTCTTTCTTTCTTTCTTTCTTTCTTTCTTTCTTTCTTTCTTTCTTTCTTTAACTATTATAAGTTATAAGGAGCATCCTTGTATTTGAATTGAACTTTTGTTGTTGTTATTTATGGTATTTTTTGGCTGACTCAAATGTCTTCTATTTTGATACAAAATTTGTTGACTTCTCAAAAGGTACACGGAATAGCATCCCCACCAAATGACATCTCTCATATGTTTATGTATCACATATGTTACAGATATTTGTCATGATATTTATGATTGTCTTTGTTACACAGAAGGGTTTAATTATTATATAGGGAAATGTATTAGGTTTTCCTTTATCACAACTGGATTCTCCTTCATGCGTAGCGGTGCTTTCCTGCTGCCTATTCCCCCACTGTTTTATTCCAGGCACTTTTATGGCTTTATTATTTACACTTAAGTGTTTGATCATTCCAGATTTTGTTCTGTATAAGGATTCATAAGGATTCATCTCTTCCTTAAATGCCAAGATAAAGGCTTTGGTCTTGATCCTGAGAGCACTGATTATTGAATTCTAGGCTTGGATAGGACATAGACTTAAGTTTTAGAGAGAACACCCTTGCTGCCTAAATACTAAGGAGCATGGGTTAGGTGAGTTCCTGGAAAGAGGGACAGTAGTCATCCAGATAAACAATGATTGTGGTTTGACTTAGAGAGGCAGCAGCAGAGGTGGTGAGAAGTGATTGAATTCAGAAGATCTTAAAGAGATTAAACAACACAACAACAAGACTACCGGTATGAATAATTAGATGTGGAGAAAGGGTTAGGTAAGTGTCAAAGGGAACTCTTGGAGATCTGACTGGAGAGATCAAATGTGTGGATGGTAACCCCTTTCACTGATATAGGGAATATGAGTGCAGGGGGGACTGAGCATTGATTTTGAGGTATCTGTGGGACATCTGAGTGGAAATGTCCCACAGACGGTTGAATATACACTTCTGAAGTTCAGTAGAGTTTTGGCTGAGGTTATAGAACTAAGAGTCATCAATACATGGATGGTTCTTTAATCTATGGCAGTGATCGGCAAACTCATTAGTCCACAGAGCCAAATCTCAACAGTACAACGATTGAAATTTCTTTTGAGAAATTTCCCAATTTTTTAAACTTAAACTTCTTCTAATGCCACGTCTTCAAAATAGACTCACCCAGGCTGTGGTATTTTGTGGAAGAGCCACACTCAAGGGGCCAAAGAGCCGCATGTGGTTCAAGAGCTGCAGTTTGCCGACCATGGGGCTATGGGAAAGGGCAAGAGTATCTGGAAAGAATGTGTAGCCTTAGAGGGAGCCCAGAGAAGAGTATTAGAGACCAGCAGCAGCTACACCATAGGTGGAGGAAAAGGAGCCTGTGAGAGAGAAGGTAAGTAGCGACCAAGGAGAAAGGGAGAAAAGCAGGACAAAGCCCTGTCACAAAACCAAAGAAAGAGAATGTTTCAAAAGGAGGGAGGGGTCAGTAGTGTTGAACGCTACCAAGAGGTCAAGAAAAAGCCTGGAAAAATGTCTAGGGTTTTGATAATCAGGTAGTGGTCTGGTCTCTGGTGACTTTAGCAGGGATTATTTCAATAGAGATTAGTAGCATAGATTGTTAATTGATTACCCCCAAATCCATTCAACCTCCCCCGCCCCCCCCCCCCGTCTTAGTAATAGATTATCTAATTTTTAACTGGACACATAGCCTCCTGGGATTAAACGAATGAGGGCAAGCCCAGCCGATGTGGCGTGCAGAACTCACCAGATCAATGATTCTCTCTCATCATTAATGTTTCTCTCTCCCTCTCCCATCCTCTCTGAAATCAATAAAAATATGTATTTTTTAAAAATAGAGGAGGACGAGGCTCACACCCTAAGAATAGTGGAGCAGTAAACTAAAAAGGACCTGGATCTCAAACAACTTCTTGGTGCCACCCTACCAGCTTTAGACTACCTACCTCTGGATTTCTTTTAGGTGAGATAAATACATGTATGTCTTCTTTAAGCCATTGTTATTTGGGAGTCTGCCACTTCGAACAGTTTCCTGATGGAAGTGGGTTGAGATGTGAATGGCAAGTGAGGTGTCCATGACAATGACTGTAGACTACTCTTTCAAAGACATGCCTCAGCCCCGAAAAAAAGAAAAAAGAAACAAGAAATGCCTCCGCCTAATGTCAAGGCTTTCCAAAAATCTAGCCCTAACTCGTTTTCCAGTCTTTTTCTTGCTGTTTTCCTGACCACTATCTATATTTTCCAACCAAGCAAAACAACCATTATCAGATTGCCCTGCCTTCTCTTGCTTTCGAACCTTTGCTCATATGATTTCTTCATCATGGAACAACACGCCCTGTGACATCTACCCTCTCTTTCCACCTCCACCATTTTAAATTCCGCACATTGCCGCACATTGCCGGTAGCCTTTGGGATCATAACGTTCAAGGAATGCAGACTCGGAACCTTAGGAGATATTGGATTCAAGGGACTCAGGCAAAAGCTGAGTCCAAGTCCATTAGAGAGGCATTTCCAAAGATTTTCAAACTCAAGCTTCCTCATTCCCTTCTCAGTGCCACCACCTTCGTAGCACAATACTATAACCACCCTTACCTTATGTCCTGGGGATCAGAGAACAGGGAGAAAATTTAAGAGAGAAAAAAAGACAAGTCCAGCCGACTTGGCTCAGTGGTTGAAAGTCAGCCTAAGAACCAGAAGGTCACAGTTCAATTGCTGGTCAGGGCACATGCCCGGGTTGCAGGCTCAATCACTGATGTGGAGAGTGCAGAAGGCAGTCAATCAATGATTATCTCTTATCATTGATGTTTCTATCTCTCTCTCCC